ATGTGTAACGTGTATACGAACCAGTTTGCCTTACAAAGACCTCCACGGAGGCATCCTTCCCATTAGGCAGATTTTTGATGGCATGTCAGCAACTAAAGGACAAATAAAGGCTTTGAAAAGCTGTCAGAATTTTATCGAACCTGTCGAAATTATGCTTGGCAGTAGATTGGATCAAGCTCTGAATACAAAAACAGGTCAATTTGAAACCAAAATTGTAAAAGAAACATTTCAGTATGTTTCGGTCATAAAAACAATTGAAATGGTTTTGTCTAAGTTTTGTTTTCTTCTTTGGTCTCATAAAAGTAAAAGCTTTAAAAGTTTACTTTAATGCTTTATGTGTGCCTTCTAAGGTGCTCAAAGGTCTTTTTAATGATATTTTTGTAATCATTATGTAATAAACGTGTGTATTTATATATATATAGATATAGATGACCTAAAAGCATTAGTTTTGCTCACAGAACTTTTGCTCAGCTAAAATTATTGGAAAGAAAGAGGGAAAAAGGTTTTATTCATTATTAATGAGTAAATATTTGGCATAAGTCTATGCATAAAAAATAATTTCATATGCTTAGCTATAAAATTCTTTTCATAGGATAATATTTTTAGTTTGCAGTGTATGTATATGTAAATAAGCTATTGATACTATATGTAAGTGAGCTGAGCTGCATATCCTTTGAAATTTGCTACATATTCTATCTTGAAAGGTTCATGTGTGATATTTATATAGTTTCAATTAATTATTACATTTCACATGCAATTTTTATCCAGTATATGTCTTTTATATATACTTTTATTTTTATTTTGTAGGGTAAAGGCAAAGCAAGTATTTTAGCATCAGGCTGTTATTTGAAAAAAAAAAAAAAAAAAAAAATCCAAATTCTGCACTTCTAATATTTGCTAAATGTAAGTATTGAGGAATTTTGATATGCTTTGCACTAACTTTCATTTTAAGAGGGCAGATTATATTAAAATGAGCCATTTTACAACAGTGAATGTATTTGGCCTCATGTGGCTAAAATTCATCTTCTCAGGCTGCTTTCGACTATTGTACCCACAGATGATGCATGGTCATTTAGCTAATTTCTGTAGAATTGGAATTGCATTGATTTGAATGTCACCTACATACTAGCAAATATTTCGAGAGAATAAGATGGTTTGTAATATGTGTGATGCCTTTATATGATCTAAATCTAAAGCATGACACTAATCATATATATGCATGTATATACAGTGAACATAGATTTTTTTTTTTTTTTTTTAACTTGTAAAGTGATGGAAAAATTGCTTCAAGGTGAAATTCAAAAGATACACTTCCAGCCAGACTATAGCGATCATGAAATCAAGAACAAACATCTTTACAATAACAATAGTTTATTATGAACAACAATAGTTTATTATGAAGGGATGATACTTGTTTTCATAAGGAAAAGACAGACTAATTCTCCATATAGTTTGTTCTTTTTACATTTTTATGTACATTATTTATTACATTTTTCATTAAGAAGCAACGCACAAATAGACTATCCTATTCTATATTTGCATCAATATAATATTTACATATTCCTATATGTATTTATACTGCATTTTTACAGAAACTAAAAGCAAAAGACCTCTATGTGAATAAAATTACTAGGAATTACTTATTTTTGAAAGAAGAAAAATTTTTCTGGCGATATTTTTTTAATTGGAAAGATAAACTTTCTAGTATGGCTCATTGGTATTTGACTTGTCCTAATAGATAGGTAATGGATGTATTCTTAATAAAGAAATTTATTTTCAGGGAATAGAAGACATGGAATCTCTTGGACCAGCTCAGAATAAACAGCCCATTATAGTGTGTATTACAAGTTCATTCTATATTAAAGCAGTAAATCACTTAATAGCATGCCCAAATCATGCCATGAAGGCATTTGACATTCTATTTAAAACTAATTTTGTATTTAGCGTTCAATATGCACATACATCAACACATTTTTATAATTTTGTGGCAAGCCTTTTGTATAATGTCGGCACTCCTAGAGCTTGTGTGGACTCTTTAAATACATGTTTTGAGTATGAATTTATTGCATTCTGTACATGCATTACATTTCATATTTTTAATGTTATTTTATTGTCATATTTTCCATTTTTTTATATATATATGTACATATATTTCCTAATAAAGAGTTTTTCATGCATTGCTTGTTTTCACTTATATTTAAAATACTTCGTTCATTGAAATTATTATAATTCTGCAGTTATGGTAATGATTCCTATTCGGATTTAATCAATAAATGAAATACATAATAATTTTCAGCAGAATTATGAAAAATGAATTTTTAGCTTACACATGTGAGCTATAATCCATATTATTTCACTTTAAAATTTACTTTATTTTTCCCAAATGAGACTTGGAATTAGCATATATAAAAATAAGTTATAGTCTAAAAGTATATGTAAGCATTTATTCACCTGTAATGATTAATGTATAGGAATTTGTATGCATATAACTTCTCAAAAATAGAAAGCGTAACAAGCTAACTGAAGATTTTAGACTTTATTCATAATTTGGGGTAATAATTAATTTTAAGCTCTTCATAATTATGTAATAAGAAATAGAAAACATTTCTTTTGCAATATTTTGTGCAATATATGAAGCTAAAAACAATAGCATGAGAGTATTTTATGGTTACTTATTTTCTGAATCTCATACATTGAAAATAAAGCTGAATAGTTTTCATGTAAGGGAAATTAAATTCGCATTTGTTTCTTACTTCAATGTATATTAAAATTTATTATTCGATTTTTTATGCATATTATGCTCAAGTAGACAAACTACTAGTAACATCAATTCACAAATTGTATTAATATATTCACTTATAAGTAGCATTTTAAGAAGTTAAATCTATCAGATTATGATACAGGTTTACTGACACATATATATATGATCAGCTGTTCTAACACATTCAAATTTTCATTATAAAATTTGTCAAGAACTATTTTTAATAAATTACTTTTCCAACTAGTATGATTATTTAATGGAAAATTTAGCTTACAATTTACATGATTACGTGCCCAAATCTTGTGAATAAGCATAATTTGCTTTTTTAAATTAAAATATGTATACAAAATTTAGAATGTATATCACTATATATATATATATATATATGATTCATCTAAAATGATTTTATTAAATTTCTTTTATGAAAATAAGCATTTTTTGATTTCTCAAATCAAATTTTGAAAATATCTGAAATATTTATTCAAAGTTTTAAGTACCTGAAAAACCTTATTTTTTATTCAAAAACTAAGTTTTTCATTGCGAATATCTTGCTATTCCAGTTTTTATATATAAGTTTCATTGACGTTCTTATTTTTATTGCTTACTACACATAAAGGTTCTGTAAAATAAAATATATTCTGTGAATTCAAAGTAATTTCACATCAGAAGTACTGTGAGGAAGTGATAGTGTTAAGTATTTCAGAATGTTAACTACACCGAATTTTCAATATTTTAATATGGATGTAATTTTTTATATGTATATTTCGTTAGATTTGGAAAGAAAAACTATATGTCTAAACAATGAAGATATGATTGTCTTTAAACTGTGTTTTTTTATTTCAGTGATGGTCTACTTTGATTCATAATCCAGTTTTTATATATAAGTTGCATTGACGTTCTTATTTTTATTGCTTACTACACATAAAGGCAAAAGCCATGTTTCTGTAAAATAAATATATTCTGTGAGAAAGTGATAGTGTTAAGTATTTCAGAATGTTAACTACACCGAATTTCCAATATTTTAATATGGATGTAATTTTTTATATGTATATTTCGTTAGATCTGGAAAGAAATCTCATCACCAATAAATGTTTAAGTAAGTACATAGGTAGCAAATCTAAAACAGATGTATATATCAGATAATTAAAATCACAATAGCATGTTAAAAAAGTAGTGTAAAATATTTTTTTCAAGAGATAATATTAACCAGATATCTAAAACAATACATCAGCTATAAAGTTTACATAGTAAATACCAATTTTCAGTTTGCCTATAAAATAATTATATAAAAATCACACCATCAAGGAGTGAGCAGACTATTATTATAACTCCTTGTAATGTGTGTGGTTTCACCCGAATATCGGGCGATATCTGACTATCGAAGAAGAGCGAACGAAGAAAGGGTCACTCCTGTTTTTGTGTGAAAAGGAACCGCTTTTTACTAGAGTGAAATATCGCTCTTTCGAGGTTGGTGCCATTTTGGCATTAGAGGGAGGTGGGATATCACTCCTTTAGAGTCGGATAGGACTCTTTCGAATTTAGAGTGTTTAATTTCTAATTTTAAGACATAGAACAATGGGAAAATTTTAAATAAGTAACAGACGAAATGACAGCGTCACGTGCAAACCAAGGAAAATGAACTTTTATATTATAAAAAGAATGCGTCGAAACTTTTTCGTTTTTTTCATTCCCTGTATTGTCTTATCTTTATCTATATTTAGATACATTGTGTAAAAATATTTGGTATTTATAAAATTATTATAATAAGTTAAAGGAAATATAAAAACTGTCAAAATTTTTGGCGACTCCCTGCTGCAGGTCCCGCGACCCCCCCCCCCACAGTTTAAGAAACCCTGCTCTAAATCATACTTTGTCTTTAAAGAGACAGTCTTCAAAATCAGTTTAATTCAGTGTGTAACCAAAGTGTATTCTAAACTGGAAATCTGCCTTAACCCAGCTTTACATTTCATTTTGATAGAATTAATTTAATTTCATACTCATACATCTTTTTTAATCACTTCCAGTACCTATATTCGAAATCTGGCTGTATCAAAAATACTGTTATATAAATTCATCACTTTCACTACCAAATTCCTAAGATGCTTAAACAGATAAATTTGTAATTGCTATCAGTTTTAAGTCTAATTGCATTTGAAAGAACACCATTTTTCTCCGCTTATTGACAGCAATAAACCAGTATTGGTAATTGTTGACTATATACTGTGATTTTTACTTTCAGGTTCATTTTCACGGAGACAATCAAAAGAATCTGCATAAATTCATTCCAAAGGCCATTTTACCATCGGAATATGGGGGCGATTACACTACTTTCAGTGCGGAAGAATTTTTCCCAAATGAAGTCGAGAGGTTTTACGAAACATACCGTGAAATCCTTCGATCAGGATATCAAAATTAATAACCCTGTAATTCTTCGACTTGCGGCTGATGAATCCTTTTTTATCATACATTTATCTTTGAAACCTGATTGGCTAAGGAGTGTCCAACTGTTCAGACATACACCTAAAGTGCCAAAGAACACACTTGTGTCTGAAGATTATTTATTATTTTGTTATCATGCGCATGATAACTTTCTAATTTACTTCGTGTTTTTATTCTTTCACTAAATTGCACTTTTTCTTTTTTATTTATGTATTTAAGTAAGAGTAGAAAGAAAATTTACATAGAACTAGTATCGAACAATAACATCAGTGCAATTTAATTAAGAAGAACAGTTTTTTTTTCCCCTTCTTGTTTTGTACATACTGAAATGAATTCTGCCCATAAGGAAAGCAGTCATATTTTAACGAATACTTGTGCTTAGCAAGAGACGGAACTTTGCTAGACAAAGCAAAATATGGACATCATTATTTAATTTGAATACATTTATGTAATGATGAGGAAATGTACTCAAGTTGTTTTTAACTCAATAAGTTTCGTTTGTATTCCAAACTCTCTTTTTTGGCTGAAGGAAAAATGAAAGACGTGTTTGTTTAAATATGCAGTCTAATAACATCACGCGCGTTCTGCAATAAAAAAGAAGTATTATAACTGTAAAGAATTTTGAAGATAAATGCTCAATTTTTCTAATATGTATTTCCTCGATATTATTACTTTTATGTTATATTTATTAAGACCTACAGAGAAATAAAATTATTTATTTCCAGTTTTTGTGTGTTCATTAAAAACCAGACCATAACGTCTAATAATGAACTTACATTAAGATAAAAATACATAAAGAAATATTTCAAAGCTGTTAAACAACAAAAGTTCGTCTTTGTTCACAGACTCGCTGTATGACGTTTTCATGGCTTCTGTTTAATAATTAGATAACAAAGTTGTAATTTGTAAGTATTCAATTAAGGTAAAAGTGTACAAATATTTAAAAAATAGTGTTAATAGTTGTTATGTTCTCTGCAGTTTTAAACTAAATTTCGCTTAGTATGAAACTTTGCCCGTGATAATGCTTTAGGATCAAAAGACACCTCACTGTACGTAAAGTACTTTGTCAAATTTTACATTTAATCCATAACTTATTATCTTATAATTCTAATATTATCTACTTTTATCAGACAAAAATGATAATTAAGACTGCTAACTGCAGATATTTTTGTAAAATAATACTGATATGATACATTCATCGAGGTAAACGAAGAGTTATGAGCATTAAATTATTATTATGCGTTATAACAATTTCTTAACAATGGTAGAATTATATTATTACGAAACGAAAAACAATGACGAAACAATTAAACGTTTACGAAAACAATTTTCTCTGTATAGCAATTTATTTTCGGAACATATTATTCACAATCGTTTTACAACATTCCATACAGTTTCATATTTTATTTATAAAGTGACCATAATTGAATTTGCTAACTCTATCCCTCATCTGAGATTTCGGAATTGAATGGAATATTTGAGTATGGCAAAGTGCACTATCATCAATGATCAAAGGGCTCAACGCTGATTCTGATATACCTAAGGAAAGCAATGATTTCATGGAGAACTTTCTAATAAAAACTGACCCATATTTACATTATAGACGCGGAAAATCAGGAAAATACCATGCAACAAGCCCGCTCAATAGCTAACCAGATTTCCGAGGTTTTAGATACTTGACCAATAGTTGATCAAAACAGTGTGCAGATTAAAATAATAAATTTATTTAATGGAAACACTGGAATATAATACCAACATATTTCGATTAACTAAGATTAAAAAAAATATTAAACACATATTCACTTGAAAATATGCATGTCAGCTCAGAGCTCAAACACGACCATGTCTATTGATTTGACTAAAACACTTCAGTATCTAAATACGCAACATAGTAAGAGTAAAATGAATAATTTTAAAGCCTTTGTACTTAATCAATGTTTTTATATTAAAAATGTGACTAAAAACTTTAAAATTCAAAAATTTCTATACTGGCATTGCATGCTATTTCATCTCTTGCTTAATTTTAAATAGCGAAAACATGTCCCTCTCTCTGATGCTAATGACGTCATCGTCTTCCGATATTGACTAAAACGTTCCCTTTAACTAGTCTGGAATGACTGTTCAATAAAACGATAGTGACTGAATTAACTTACATGTAAACATTTTTTATTATATCAGTTTATTCAAAACAAAGTATCACAGGCGAAATATCAAGGTTATAAATATTATACACTCACGTTTGTGAAAATTGCAACACCAAGAAGGAATCGTCATAATTGAATGCAATTTAATACACAGTTGAGTGGTAGTGGTACAAATAAATGATTAAATGTTCAAAGCAAACAAACAAGAACAAGAGATCAGAATCAGTATTTTGTGTGGCCACCACGCGCCGCAATAAGTGCTGCTACACGACGTGGCATGGAGTCAAACAAAGTTTGAATGTCTGACTGAGGAAGAGCATTCCATATCGTTTGTACGCGTACCCAAAGTTCGTCTGCAGACACAACAGGACGAGGATCACGAGCAAGACGCCGACCAATGACATCCCACACATGTTCAATTGGCGACATATCCGGGGAACACGCAGGCCAAGGAAGAAGCTGTACCTGCTGCGCTGCAAAGAAGGATTTAACAATCCGAGCAGTATGAGGGCGGGCATTGTCCTGTTGAAATACAGCGCCTGGCAAGCTTTGAAGGAAGGGAAACAGCTTCGGGCTGTAGAACTTCACGGATATACCGGTTGCTGTTCAGATTGCCCACAATTCGTAGCAATTGAGATCGTCTATGATATGCTATGGCGCCCCAGACCATAACTCCGGGTGTTCGTCCACTGTGGCGTTCGATAATGCACTCCGGAAGGTGGCGTTCACCGGCATAGCGTCTGACACGAATGCGGCCATCATGGTACCACAAATTAAAGCGGGATTCGTCAGAAAACACGACATGCTGCCAATCAGCACGCCAGTCTCTATGCTGATTGGCCCATTGTAGCCGCAGGCGGCGATGGTCGTGCGTTAGGAGGATCCTGTATAAAGGAGTCCGTGCGCGCAGTCCACACTGCAGCAGACGTCTACGAATTGATGAAGCACACAATGAAACACCTGTAGCTATTGACCACAGTGCTGCCAATTGTCTAGAGGAAGCTGTACGGTCCGTCCGCGCCATGCGGACCAGGTGTCTATCATCGCGAGCTGACGTCACATTTCGGGGTCCACTCCCGGATTTCCGAGTTGTCCGACACTCGTCCGTCCACTGCTTCCAAACGCGCATCACTGTGCTGCTGTTACGCTGCACACGAGAGGCTACTGCACGATACGACAATCCAGCTTCACGAAGGCCGATGATTCTCCCTCGTTCAAACTCTGTAAGTTGTTCAAATCTCGCTCTCTTTCGTCGAAGAGGCATAAGTACAGATTGAGTTAACGTTTACCACTAGCAGATAACCACCGATAACCATACACGCCTCGCTACAGCCGTCTATTTATTCGGATCCATCAGCCGTTCAGAGGGCGCTGCTCAGCATACGCATGCGCTACGGATTTGCAATTCTAATCATTTGCATATCATGCGCTACTTTGCATTTCCTGAAAATTTCAGCTCACTCGCGTAAGTCCTTCATGGTGTTGCAATTTTCACAAACGTGAGTGTATTTATTCAACTACGCATATCCAATAATAGTTATTGTCTATTCAATTTCATAAATGCAACTTATCATAAGCACAAACTCGACCCAAGTTAGGAGGATGATAAGCATAATGACTCAAACTTACATATCTAAAAATTTTTAATGATGATTTAATACATTATTTCGCTGGCATAGGATCAGTTCAGATTCAATACAATTCTCTGGAATCATAAAAAAATCTCTCTATTGAACGGCATATATCCAAAAAAAAATGCTTAATAAAAATTCAGTGTCATAATTTATTCTCGTATGATAAGCAAAAATTGATTAGGAATCATTAGGATCTTAAATGTTATGTTTGCTGTGCTACACATATCCAAAAATTCTTAATAATTCCTGAGATCATTGATTCATTGACAAGTGATACATTCAAATTCGATTTAAATCACTAGAATCGTAAGTATTCTGCTTCATCAACTAAATATAACCATGAATATCTAACGGCTATTTATGCACTGATATATGTAAAATACATTTCCAGGGGGGAGCAGAATCATTAACATTTTGTTTATGCTGTTCTACATATCTATAAATATTTAATGGTAATTTAGTGTTATCAGTTAATTGATAAATCTTATATTCAACGTAAATTAACAGAAGATTTTCTAGTAAGACGTAATTCAACAATCCTAATCCAAAATCAAGCCGAATAGTGTATCCATGCAAATATTGGAGACCATTGAAGGGCTAATAACGATATCCTTTTGCAAATGATTCGTGGTTATTGTTAAACAGATATCAAGATCATGCAAAGATGGAATTGTTACTTATCCTACAAATATCTAGATAAACGCTTCCTGTACTGTGTGACAAAATAAATACCTTCAATTCCAAGGGTTTAGATGAAAACGTGCGCTGACGGAGAAGAAGTATGCAACTGATAACAGGGAAACCCCATGCAGTTTATGTTATTCTGATAACATCAGCTTTTTCAAAATCACCTAATTTCATGATATTAAGTTATTTGAATATGGAAAAGAACACGAGAACTATCTGCTTAGACAGAATAATGCCTTCGAGGAGGATTTTCTAAGCAAAATTGGCACGTAAAGTATTAGCATACTTTATACATGGAGAAATCACGAAAACCGCCATTCAACCAGGCCATTCGCATGTGATCGAACCAAGATCGAACCTCTAGAGTTTAACAGTCTTAACCAGTCGGCCACTAATGAGTATAAGAAGAGAGGTAGTATTCCAGGTACTTAAGAGAATATAAAGCATTCCCTGACAAGTGCAAAATCTGCATGTCAACTTGGAAATTTTATCTTGGACAGGTTCAGCTCTTATTTATTGTTCCTTGTAATCCTAATAATGGAAACAGTGGTCTGATGGTTTGCTCCATCAAATGGTTGAACGCTGATGATTTGGTATGTTAAAGGCCCATATCTCGATCTTTCAGCGTGTTTAGCAATGTATTGATATGCTTCAGATAAGTTATGTCGAGGAGTTTCTTCAGAAAAATGGTCCATCTGGACAATCAATATCAACAAGTAGTCAGACTGTCTTCGCAATATTTAAGTGCTACTCGGATTATATCTCTCTAAGTACATCTGGGATATGAAGAGACCACAATAGCAGCACGCCCCCTAAGTACATCACGAATTCGTCTCCACTAGCGGAGTTTTTTTCATTAATGTTGTTATACACTGAATGGCCAAAAAAGTTTGACCACCTACTTAGTAACGCATTGTGCGATCTTTGGCCTGCAAAACAGTTGCAGTTCGCCTTGGCATGAATGCAAAAAGTTCTTCGTAGATGACTGGAGACTGGTTGTACCAAAATTCTAAGCAGCGGTCAAGCAAAGTCGAGATATTCAGACCGGGTCGTGTTTGAGCTCTGAGCTGCCGCTCCATGACATCCCAAATGTGCTCTACCTAGTTAAGATCCAGCCAGTTAGGTGGCCAGGACATTAATTGGAATTCATCCTTCTGCTCCTCGAACCACTCCAACATAGTTCGAGCCTTGTGACATGAGGCGTTGTCTTGGTAGAAGATTCCACATCCAGTTGGGAAGACAGACGCTATGTAAGGGTGCAACTGATCCACAATTATGTTCAGATAGTCCGCAGCTTTATTGGTCTGTTCTACCATAACTAAGACTCCCACTGCTGCCCATGAGAACGTCTTCCAAAGCATAATACCTCAACCACCAGCCTGTATAACCTGCTGTACAGGAGGAAGCAACTGTTCGCTTGAATAACAGCGTACCCTGACATAAGTGTCAACATGATAAATCAGAAATCGTGATTCAACCGACCAGTCAACTGTTTTCTAATTATCGATGATCCAGTCTCGAAGTACCAGGGCCCACTGTAGGCGCAGTTGACAATGACGTTTGGTCCACAGAGGCACACGAGTGGGACGTCTGCTGTGCAGTCCCATGTCCAACAGTGTCCGCCGAACTGAATGTTCGAAACACTTGCACTTGGACCTGTATTGTATTGGGCTGTCAGCTGAGCCACTGTCTGGCGTCAATTTTGCTGTACCAAGCTGGACAGTCTCCGACGTCCCTTTTCTTTGATGATGCGTGGACGACAAAATTTGGCGTCTATCGCTGGTTTCACCGTCATTTATCCACTTTGCATAAATACTAACAACGGCAGATTGTAAACAACCTACCAGTCGTGCAGTTTTGTAGATACTCGCTTCGAGTTTTCGGGCCATTTCAATCTGCCCTGTATGAAATTCGCTTAGATTAGCTGCCTTTCCCATCACTCGCAAAAGTAAATGCAAGAATGATTCCTTATCTTCTCCAGAAGCAGCTAAATATCATTGCCACTTAATCACTTCAAGTCATAGAGATGCGCTCATTGACAAATGTGGGGATGGTCATACTATTTTGGTTCGTCAGTGTACATCATATGTCCAAACTATAAATGACACACGTGGAAGGTTTAAAATGAAATAATGCTCTTTCATTAATCTCTCGTAAAATGTATGATAAAATATATTTCATCCCAGCAAAGTATAGTTGGAAAGCATTGTTCCTAGTAGCAGTATTATATTCTTTTGATTGCTTTTCTAATCATGAATGATACTCATAAATGTTTGATTATGTTAATTGTTTCATAAGAATAAATTGAGTTTAATTAAAAAAATTAAATTTAAATACATATTTAATTAAATATTCTTTGCGCCGTTGCTGCAAAGAATGAAATTTAAATTTAAACAAATTTAAATACTAACAAATACGTATAAAAGTAAAAAAGCAAATTTAAATTTTTGATGGAGGGCTGCGTGCTTTAGTATTTTTACAACAGGTTCACAAAACTTCTTTATTCTGTCTCTTAACATGTTAAAATTTTCTGTTTTTACTGATACAGAGTTTAAATCATTTTCAGCACTTACAAACTGATCAATTCATTTTGTATTTGGAATGAAATTATATGAAGCATGTATGTTACTCTTTGCAATATTACCTCTTCGATAATACAATACCAATTTTGATTCTCAGATGAATCAAATCTTGAAAATGGAATTATCACTTTACTGCGCCTTTTTTTAATACGCCATAAGTACCTGAAAATCTGATTGTGGAAATTATTGACAATAACGTTGCATTATTCTATTTAATTATTTGTGCTACCGAAAATCAACAATGTTCTAGGAAATAATACTTGCAAGCTCATTTTCTAAATTATATGCGCAAATGTGCAAGATATCCGCAATGCGTAAATGTGCTCCATGCGAAGATGTTTCTGAATAACTTGTTGTTGGGAAATGGAATAACTTAAACTTTTGATACTCAATACACTTTCACAATCTAGGTTCAAAGCTTTTGTGACAAGTGACACAAGTTATACAAGCTCGTCATGTGACGGTCCTCTAGCTGAAGACAAATGCGTGTAATTAATCAATGTACCGAAGTTAACTTCAGCTATTATTGCTTGTTCATTGAACAAAAATGGTCCTAAAATCTTGCAATACAGCATCTTAACCAAACACTGACTTTCGATCTATCCCGCTTCAGTTCTCTTGTGACATGAGGATTTTTTGGATCTGCAATTTCTACCAGTTGTACAGATCCCACCAAGAATTTTTGGATCTACAAATCCTACCAATTTACAGTGAATTATGTGTATATTGAACAAAATAAACTGTTAGATAAAAGCTTTTATATACATGTAATACCACAAACATTTATAGCACTACATCTAACACGGTGCTCGCAATAATAGGGTAAAGTTGTTCAGAGACTTATGGACACCCTACATTTTAAAATATTATCATTTTCTGAAATGTTATATGCTTTAAAAACACAGCTTCTATAGCATGGCTGTTAATCTTGCGCCTGCACCGTGATGCCCATTCCCAAATTTCTGTTGCATACCTTCAAATTTTTATCCTATTTCTCCTAAATTATAACACACTGAGTTTTTAAAAAATCAGATTTTCAATATTCAAAAAAATTGTAAAGTAGAAACCTAATCTGCCCTACCAAGCAGAAAACAGAACATAAAGTTTCCTTTTTTATTCTTTCTTGACTTCTAAACGGTGGTAATTGACTCCTGCTCGAATACGGGTGAATGGGCATTTTCGTAGTTTCTCCCTCCCACAGTATGTGATATGAATACCAGGTGAGTCTTCAAAATCCTCCATAAATGAATTTCTTCTTTCAGACAGGTAGCCCAGTGTGCTGATAATCAGATAAACTAATCCAAGCATTTTTTTCGTTGACTGAATTATGATGATCTGCTCTGCAGACTTCCTGTTTGTATCACCAACCTAAAATTTAAACAGCGTTTTTTTTCATCCTGATTTCCCTACAGGCACCTTTAGGTCTTGTACAGTTTGAAATTTAAAACACGTTATAAAAATAATAAGGTAAGAAAATAAATGTTTGTCAGTTTCTGATGTACACTTCATTTACAAGATTTTAGAATTATGTTCGTACAAACTTCAAAACTCATAAAGCAACATTCAAACTTCTCTAATCCTAGTAAATCCACACAATGCTTGTCACGTTCATAGAGCCACTTAATCAGTTCGTAGAATTAATCATTTGGAACACTGTTTAAATCTCCAGTTACGATTCTCTGAATCCCTTCAAGACCATTAAAATAATGCCCTTTGAGGTAACATTTTAATTATTGTCGAGTAGCAGATATCAAAATTATTCGATTGAGCTTTAAAATGCTTTGTGTTCTTGTTAGCGTACTTGCTCAGAATCCACACCAGCTCAGAAACCACACATGCAAAGGCTCGAAACCCGTTTTTGACCTGTAATGTTTATCATATGCCTGCGAAGAGATTATGTATCGTAGCAGTGTCGTATTCGGAATAATTCCTGATTTTGGTGCCAATCTTCAAAATTCACGAAAGAAAAATAAAAGAAAGAAAGAAAGGAGAAAAAGGAAAAGAGAAAAATGATATGGGCAGCACATAACATTCCTCCAATTCTATTAAGACACGGATTTGGTTTAATTGCTACGAAGTTTAAGTAAACTATCACTCCCGACTGATTGCTGAAAATAAAGTTTAATTTGTTTATAAGCTTTATGGTTCAATTTTAATTAAAAGCATTACTAATTTTTTTATTATTTTGTTCTCCCGTACAATGGGTAATAAAAAATATACATACTCATGTACACACTCGTTCTCATACTTTGATTTAAAAAATCGTATCAATCGCAATCCTCTGGCCATATAGCGCTTCGGATTCGCACACCAATAGCTTAACAATCACAAAATTTCCTAAAGCAGCATATATTTAGGATTCCCAATAGTGTTTAAGTTGTTGCCATACATTTCTTTATATTCATTTATTATTTAAATATGCTGCATCTTTTCTTTGAAAAAATTCTCCTATTTTAAATACCGAATTTTAGAAGCTTGGAATTATAATACATTTTTTATAATGCTGCGGGGACCTTAATTCGTGCTTATTCACTGAAAATTCACTATCAAATTTTTGGGATGAAAACGTTACCTTTACTTATCTATGTAATAAAAACAATGAAAGTTCTTTTTTCTCTTTAGTAGAGTCGTCAAGTTCATGAGCTCAAAGTTCCGCTAGACCAAACAGGCCTTTATGTGCTTCAAATAAAGTACAACTTCCGCTTTTCCAGTTTTACCCAAAATCCGTATAAATCTTCTTATGAATGTAGAAAGCTACGGAAAATGGAACTTCTTGAAAATTTGGTATAAGAGTTTGTCACACATAGACAGACATCTTCGTAAAACTATATTGTGCTATAAATGTTTATTCTCTCAAAACTCACTATCGAATTTTTGGATAGAAAACATTACTTTCGTTACCTATATATACAGGTCGTAAGGAGTACGTTGATGTGTATAGGTCGTAAGGAGTACCTATATATATAGGAGTAAAAATAAAGTCGAAATTTGGATGGGTGAGTTAGGGGTTATGCTATTGCATGACAGATTTCTTATTGTATAAGATTCATAATGGAGATTTTGTCTTTTATTGGTGGACGATAACAATTATCCTAGGAGAAAATCAAGCTTTAACAGCGCTGGCAGCCGAACAGAAGCACAATATACAAAATATTTTAGTCTTTTACTTCAGCTCTTATCTGCAATAAGTAAACAAATCAACACATGACGAAACGGGGGGTGGAAGAGAGAGAGAATTATGTTTTAGTATAATAACTAGATCTGTTTCTCAGCAAGAAATAGATCGCTTTCACAAAGACAGGGCCTGCCATCAATGGTGAATTGACAAACATTAAATTTACTGGAATAGGATTTGAATATATAAATGCAGATATCACAGAAGAAATGTTACTAAGAATAAAACTTGTTAAAAGAAATGTTACTAATAAGTTCAAGCAAAAGCATTGCAGAAACATAGTGTGTTATTTTATAACATAGCATGAATATAACGCACTGCATGCTTTATCATTCCCGAATTTAATTTTATTGACGGAAAAAAATGATGAAGAGTATGATAATATTAATAGTCACAGATGTCTCAAAAACCTCTATTACAAAAACGAAACTAAGACCCTAAAGAATCATTAAATAGCGACCTACTTAATAAGATAAAAGACTTACCAAAAGACCAACTGTGCACTTAATTAGTTAGTCGTAGACTTATTGTTTCATTTAAAAACAAAAACAAAATAAAAAAATCTGATGTGTACACTACATGACTGCCTTGTACGGAATATTAAATTGTACGAATTTTTTCCTGCATTTGATTTAAACTCATTTTCTCATTACAGATATAATTCTCATTCAATTAATTCAGTTTTCACTTCCCGACAAGACAAAAATACATAAAACCTCAAAATAAATTTATTCAAAATTGAAAAATATAAAAACCAAATACAGTTAAAACAATTTTTACAATTCAAATTAAGAGTTTCTTCGCAAAAACCAGCAATTCAGCCAACGGGCGAGAAGGCAGATTTTTCGGAGCACAAAACTAAACGTTTCCTTTTAGTCCCACTCCGCAAAAAGACACTGAAGGTGCAGAGAGACTTAAATCACTATTCTGCTAAGTTTCAAATATAAACAAATATGGCTGCTATGGTAAAAAAATTAGGCTTAGCAGCACTTAAACAACTTTTAAATTGTTTATAATTCTACAACTATTGCATGCAGATTAACTAAAGGCATAAAAACCTTAACCGGAAGATAAGACCAACATAATTCAATCATTTTTAAAGCAAAAAATGCACAATTTACCAACGTATAAGAATGAAAAAAACTGAGCTCACTGAGCAGAGTAAGAGAGTGGGTGTGTATATATATATATATATATATATATATATATCTATATATATATATGTGTGTGTGTGTGTACTTTTGGTGCAGCCGATTGTAACCAAAAAGGGAGGTGCACAACTATATGTTATAGAAGTCCTATATGCAAAATTTCAATGTTCTGAGACTATTTGTTTTCGAGTTATGCCAGATACACACATACGTACGTACGCACGTACAGATGCCACGAAAAATCTCTTCTGAATCTATTTTAAATTAGTTTTATAATTCTTTTGGCGAAAGAGTCCTTGATTCTGTCCTTACGTACAGATGTCACGGAAAACATCGTTAAATTGCATTCGACTGCGGTCAAAACGGATATTTTCTTTGAAATGTTATACCCGAAAATTTTCCCGATTACAGTACTTCCTTTACTTCGTACACAGAAGTAAAAAAGAAAAAAAGAAAGAAAGAAAGAAAAAAAGAAAAAAGAAAAAATAAAAGAAAGGAAAGAGTTATTTAACAGTGTTATTAGCATTTTCCAAGTAATCAAATTTTCAGTTTTTCTGTTGTGTTAACGTAAACGAAGAGTAGTTAATTAAGCATGTCGACATTTCTGTTGCCACAATCAATAGAACTTACGAGCCGCTGTTGAATTCTACGAACATTAGCATTCAAACAAACAAGAAAATTTACAATATGTTTCATTTCTATTTTTCTCCATATTAAGAAATTAATTGGTCCTGGAAGACAGATATACACTAATTCTTATCAGAACAAAATTTTGCTTTTTATTGTAGATGTTTATAGTTGATCTTGCTTTTTATAGTAGATGTACTTCATCAAGCTTTTGACGAATCATCGAATCGCGTGTTGCTAACCTAATCTGCTTATTTGCATGATAAATAACGACAAGGCCATTTGCATAATCTGAGTATTTCTATGATAACTCTCAGATCATTTGCAGACGTTCACTCCTTCATATTTATACCACGAAAAAATTATGAGTCAAACAGACTGATGCTTTCACGCATATATTTGCATTTGGTTTGACGCTTATATAATGGATTACACTGTGGTAAAATTTTTATTGTAGAATCTCCTAATGACTCGTATGAAGTCTAGATACTTTAGATTTCAGTGATATAAAATCCTCGTTAAATACACCTGGATATACGTTAGTAGGGCAACTAAAATATGTATGATATGTCTTGTAACTGGAAACAAATTTGAATTTATTGTACATCTATCGCATATCAGTGGATTTAAATCGCCATTAACTACTCTTGAGTGTACGTATGAACTTTATGTTTGCATAAGTAATGCTAGTTAATTATAGTAAAACATTTGGATAGTATTTGTATGATAGTTAACCGAGAACTATTTGTGAAGTTTCTTAAATCCTGATTTCCGCATATTTCTTAAAATCATGAGATGCATTTAATTTTATTTTCAATTTGATGTATAGGTTCGATTCTTACTGTATTATTCGTAATTCTACGAAATATCTTAGTGGCTCGTATTAAATTTGGATACATCAGATATCGCTTAGTTAGAGTTCTAATATTCTTAGATAAGCGCAACTAAACGTATTTATAATTTCACGGGTATAGCTGTGGTTTATTATCTTTGGTTATTGAAAATATGTGTATTGTTAACAGTCTAGGATTTATATATTTTAATAGATATAACATTTTAAATGTATTTAAAAATCTTAAGGCATTCAGATACCAAACATGTAAAACGGCAGAGAACATAAAATAAGGACGATAATAATAGCATAGTACTACGTCATTGTAATGCGTAGAAGAAATAATTTTCGTCTGAATCATTACATAAAGTTTCTTTCTTTTGATGATTTAAAATTCTAGAAGTTATTTTTGTTGTTTAAGTAAGTGTTTTCTGAATTTTATTTTCAATCTAAATGAAAAAATGCAGTTTCCAAAGCATTTTGTACTTTGTTTTAGTCTCATTTTCTTTGTTGAGAAAGATAACGCACAAAACTGCCATTCTGTGTTTTTCAAATTTCTACTATCATGTATTCTATTCTATATATTTGTAACTGAGACTTTTGAGCCCAAAGGCCGTTAGCCCAGAAGGGCTATTAATTTCGTTTGGGCATTTTGCGTTGAAAAGTTTAAATGTAAGTTCACTTTTCAAACTTTTGCCACCAAATCTTACAGCCCTATATTATATTTAAAGGAATTAAATAATGAAGAATCTGCATCAATGTATGTATGTTTCTCGCATTTTAATAAAACAACGGTACCTAAAGCCATAGAATTTTGAATAACGTAATTTTCCACCGAATATGGGCATCTGGAAGCCCTAATTTGGAATTTTAATTTATTATCTATTTAATATTCTGTGACACTTTTGCTTTCTAAGTTTTTCGTCATCATTGTCACCACTATCGTCGTCGTCGTCATTGTCAGCACATCATGATCTGTATTTAACAAAGATTTGAGTTGAATTATAGGGGCAGCTGAAGCTTCTTTTTGTAGTTTTTCAGGTTCTTTCCAAACTTCGGCTTCTTCATCAGTTGTCTCAAAATTCCATCTTTAACTCGTAGATAATATGCATGAAAATTCTCAAACGGTGTTTTCGCAATAATTTCATTGATCCTGATATTCAAATTTCACTTAACTTCTTTAATTTTTTTAAACCAATCCTTTTAATCTTTATTTTCCGTTGGTGTTACTATCTTTGACAAAACTGTTTTATTCGATATCTCTACCAAATTTGCACTTTGATATCTATTTATGCGTTGCATTTTCAACAATTCGAGTCTTCGTTTCAGTTCTGCTGCTTTTTCTAATTTCTTTTATACACGTCCAACGCATAAAGTCTTTCCATTTTATGCTTACTCATTAAGATCATTTTAGCATACTCTGTTCTTCAAAGCTTGCAAATCCAAAATCTTCCGATTTTCCAATCAGTCATTATCTTGGCAATTGTAATTTTTGCATACTTTTCAGAAACTTAACTCAGCTTTTTATCATCAGAATCACTGAAATTCTTGATATAAAAATTCATGAATAGCCTGGCTCTCTTTTTACCCAGCAGCTTCTTATACTGGGAATGAATTTTCCAAAAAAAAAAAAACTTTTCTACCATTAAGAAGCATGCCATTAACTTTCATGATAGCATTATTCGCTACTTCTTCAGTCTGAGAATGAACAAATCCGTATGCTTTTGAACTGCTCTTCTCGTCAGTTACTACTTTGCACGTAAAATATTTCCAAAGAAACACACTATGTCATGCTTGGCTTTATTACCAATGTATTTTTCCAAGTTTTTTATGAAGATATTCTCTACAACTGATTCTCTCTTTGCTGAGAAAAGAGTTCTATATATGGATCTCATTGTGACCACATAGTTTTATTCTCGATATTCATGACACTATTTGCAGTCAGATGAATTCGATTTAATTTTTCTTCGAGAGAAAAATTTTTGAAAGGCTTGCCTTCCTTGTATCCGATATGAAAACTGTTATTGAAATCAGCTTCTATTCTACCGACGAGAGTGTTTGCAAAAAAGTTTTGATTTCCAACAACATTAAATCATTAAGAACAAGATGGACTTTCAAATTGAGATTTTGAGCAAGAAAACGTCGTTAACAGACAAGGAAAACCTGTATCTATTACAGTGTTGATTTCTTCATTAAAGCTAATTTAGGCTTTGTTTAAGCTTATATTATTGCTTTTATCATGTCTACTAACAGATAAAATTTTATTAATTACTTTCAGTCATTTTTTTCCCCTTTATGCTCCATTTTATTGGGTCACATAAAAAGTCTTCGCGCTTTTTTGGTACAATTTTGAACAAAAGTTTTCTTTATTGAAAATCAATTTTAATCAAGTACATATTGACCATTATTATCTATTACCTTTTGCCATTTTTCGGGTAGCTTCGTAATTCTATCGGTGTAGAACTTCTGTGGTTTATCGTCGAAAACCTTGGCCAAGTGACTTTCAGCGGCGCTTCGGTCGGCCAATTTTTTACCATCAAAAGACTTTTGCAGAAAGTATAGGGCTGAATTGATGGTTTCGCCAAGTTGCAGCAGCTTATAATGGACAATTCCCCATGTGGTACCCAAACATCGAGCTTCTTTTTGTAGCCTGGTCTTTTTGAATGAATCTAATCTGTCATATGGTTGATGTTTATTGCCTCCGCTATTTCCTGACAACTTGCGTGCCGGTCTTGCTCCACCAGTTGCAAAACTTCTTCTTTTTCAGTGACTGGCCGACCAGAGCGAGGTGCGTCTTTGACATCGAAATTTCCTAAACAGATTCGAGCAAACCCCTCCTGGGCCCTTCGTTCACTCACAACATTCTCACCGTACACGTCACAAATTTTCAGCTTGTTTTTGTAGCTTTTTCCACTTTTTATAGTAAAAAAGCATCACATAGCGTATTTCTTCAGATGTTTCACTCATTTTCAAATCAATATAACTTTGTACACGAGCAACGAATTAGAACACTATCTTCAAAAACAATGGAAGCTGAATGTTACCTTTTAAACACATGTTCGTTTGAGACAATCGTACGAGTGTTGCCGGATATATTGGCATCAACACCATCCAGTGGCAAAAAACCGCGGAGATTTTTTATGTGACCAAATAGTACATTTTCGGCATGTTGCAATAGGTTTCGGTTAGCAGGCAGTCCTTTGAAATGCATCCACAGCTGTTACAGTCGAAGCATTTTGATTCACCATTATGTGTAAAAATGTGATTTTTTTTTTTTTTTTTTTTTTTTTTTTTTTTTTTTCCTTTTCTTTACTAGATTGTAACAACTGGATCATGTTTAGAGGAATTTCTTTTGTCGTAAGGCCTTCCTTACTCGGTTGTTTATCCTTGAAAGTTGATTTCAAGGTAGCATAATCACTCAATTTTTCAACTAAATCAATTGATCGATTTCATCAGTTTTATTCAAAATACACGAAGAATTGATTTCTTTTTTTTAACCTAATTTTAAATTGCTAGAATTTGATAAAAATAAATTAGACCTAAAACTTTGCTGACGCTTTAGATATTTAAGAAAGAAAATAATTGCATTTCTGTTTAAGGAGTTGCAAATGAGTACCCGAGTAATTCATTGGCTAACTCCCATAATAGTAGCACAAAAAGACTGAGATCCGTTTTCTATTAATTTGGGCATGAACAAATCCACTGTTACCCTGAAGCGAATCTTCTGACTGTGACGTAGATATACAGCAAAAATTGCACACTTCCTTTGAAGCACTTTTTGATAAATATTGTGATATTGATGCTGCTTTAGCTCCCTATCTCAAAGATTTCATTCGGCCTCGTCAGCGAACTTTGATTTAGTTTATGATAGCAGAAAAAACAGCCAACCTTGCAACATCTTTAATATTTCGATATTACAATTTAATTTAATTTGCCTTTCTATCTTAGTACGACGTAGTTGTCTTTTTTATTCCCGTTTTGATTGACGATTTATTTGCTAATAAAAAATAGACTATGCTTTTATACATCTGATATTTTTAATCGATATTCCGCGCTTTTAATATATATTTATAATAGAATATTATATTTTCTCAGCATCTTTGTGTAAGTTTATTTTTGTATTTCATGATTTTCATATTATTACTTTCTGATATCTTTTAGTGTTCGTTATATATAGATGTTATGTTACTATATTACTATAAATACATATATATATATATATGTATTTGGGTTTGGGAAATTGATATGTATAAATCTATGCTGTTTCATGACTTTCTCTTGTACAGGTTTAAGTGTAAATTTTTTTAAAACGTATACGCTTAATAAAATACAGCATGAGCACTTAAAAGTGTAGATCTACTAATAACACAGGTTTTCATCGCGATATATAATTTTAAAGATTAATAAAAATACTAAACAAAAATTTAATAAACATCCTTAATCCAAATTTTTCCAGCAGAATGAAAATTAAAGTAAATCATGCTTGTTTATTTTATTTTTAACTAAGGAAACAAGATAAAATATCATCTCTATTGTGGTATTACCAGTTAAGATTATTAGGCGAATAAAGGCGAAATGCTGAAAAAGCATATTTCGTACTTAAGGTGATTAAATTATATGTATGGGGAAGCCGATTTGATACACAAGTAGGCGATTAGATATTTTTAATCAAGTTTTTTCAGTTGAGTGGCAAAAATATTCGTTTATGGAAATTGGATTAATGAATTTTTAATTGAACCACTAATAATCTAAAGTTAGTGCCAAAATGATTAAATTATCAATATCCCTTATATCAATATCTTGGGATTTTCAGTTCCCTTT